AAAGAGGGTCATTTGCCTCTATCTTCTCTGGCCCACGCCAAACAAAAGAACACAACACTTCCTCCCGGTCTTCTCGCTCCAGAAAAAACACGCATTTGAAAAGACCACCACACATGTGCGGATACACACACACACACACACACACACACACACACACACACACACATGTGCGCGCGCCAGACGCATAAAAAGGGGCGGTCTTTAAGCCAAACAAGCAGCAACACAAACGCACACACACACACACACACCCATCAGCGTGCGTGCACGTGAGGGGTGCGTGCGCTGTTGGCAGCAAAGCAGGCGGGGGAAGCAACCAATACGTGCGAGCGGCAAAGGGCGTGTCATTTCATTTCGACGAGAAAGTCATTGGCGCACTGCCCTGGTAGGAGAAGCCATCGAAGGGGTTGTCAACCTTGACGCTCAGCACTTCAACCTGCACCGGAATTGCGACATGTACGCAGCAGCCATCGGCACGCATGAGTACGGGGTGGAAGGGGGGGGGAGTGGTGGATGGACAGGCCAACTTGGGTTGGAAACTGGCAAAGCATGCCACATCACACACACGCACACACACACACACACACACACACACACACACACACACACACACACACACACACACACACACACACACACACACACACACACACACACACACACACACACACACACACACACACGCCCGCACAGCTGCTGAAGGTGTCCATCTTTGTGCAGGAGGTGCCGACGTCGCTGCAGATGCAGCTGCAACAGGCCATTGCCCAGCGCAACGCCGCCGCCCCTGTCCACCACGGGCCAGCCATCCACCACCCGTTCATGGCAGCACACCGGCCCATGTACCCGCACCCGCACCACCCATACGGCCACCACCACCACGCCCCACCGCCCATGCACGGCTTCCCTCACCAGGCGCGCATGTCTGCGTCGATGGCTGCGAACCAGCGCAACCAATACCCACCAACACCGATGCACGCGCTGCCCATGCAGCGGCGACCAGCGGTTCCGCACATGTCGTTTGGGATGGGCGCACCACCACACCCGCATCGCTCCCCGCACCACACGCCGCCGCCATCACACACGTCAGCTGGGGCAGGCCACCCCAACACGAAGAAGAACAAGGGCTCGCTTGTGTCGCGTATGGTGGGGGCATTGAAGCGGCCTGTGCTGCCGGTAAAGAAGCGCGCACCACCAGCACAGGTGCAGTCATCGGCATTCTTCTAGGCAACCACGCAGGAGGCTTGATTGGATGGCCCGTGTTGTATGGCTTTGCGTGCGTGCGTGTGTGTGTGTGTGCGCGCGCGCGCGCGCACGTGTGCGTTGCTTGTGTGTATGTGTGTGATATGTCGTTGTGTGGTGTTGTTGCGTGTCCGCGTTCGAGCGCGCGGGGGCGAAGATATGGGATGCGATTCATCCATATGCGACCACATCATCACCATATTGCTATTGCACACTGGCTATCGCGGGTGGATCGAATAGATTTGATTGAAGGTAAACTTTGAATAAGATGACGTGGGTCCCAACAATCAATCAATCACACATGCAACGGAAGGTTAAGATACGTTTGCGTGATTGGGGCCAGGAGGAACGGACAGGGAAAGCTCGAGGCAATGCTCGTTCACCAAAAGCGGTCATTGCCTGTCACTTCTCTCGCCCACGCCAACAAAGCAAGCACACCTTCACCCGGTCATCCGCTCCAGAAAAACAAGCATTCGTAAAGCCCAACACACATGTGCAGACACACACACACACACACACACACACACACACACACACACACACACGTGCACGCGCCAGACGCATAAAAGGCGCAGTCATTAAGCCAAACAAGCAGCAACACAAACGCACACACACACACACACAACCATCAGCGTGCGTGCACGTGAGGGGTGCGTGCGCTGTTGGCAGCAAAGCAGGCGGGTGAAGCAACCAATACGTGCGAGCGGCAAAGGGCGTGTCATTTCATTTCGACGAGAAAGTCATTGGCGCACTGCCCTGGTAGGAGAAGCCATCGAAGGCGTTGTCAACCTTGACGCTCAGCACTTCAACCTGCACCGGAATTGCGACATGTACGCAGCAGCCATCGGCACGCATGAGTACGGGGTGGAAGGGGGGGGGAGTGGTGGATGGACAGGCCAACTTGGGTTGGAAACTGGCAAAGCATGCCACATCACACACACGCACACACACACACACACACACACACACACACACACACACACACACACAGACAGACAGACAGACACACACACACACACACACACACACACACACACACACACACACACACACACTCAGACACACACACACGCGCGCAACAAGCGCTGAGAGCAATGGACGGACCGAGTTCTGGACGACCGAGGCTGGGATGGGCTCGGCCGTGAAGTCTGTGTGGATGTTGCGCAAATCAAGCTCATCCGCAACGAACGGCTTCCATGGTGGCGGTATCTGCCGGTGGTGGAGTATGTGCATGTATGCGTGTATGCGCGAGTGTGCGCGCGCGCGTGTTGGTTGTGTGTGCGCGTGTGTGCGCGTGCGTGTACGTGTGTATTGTGTGTGTATGTATGTGTTTTGTGTGTGCGAGGGGTTGTGAGTGTTGCAATCGCGAGGTTGTCATGGTTTCGGGAGGGTTGTAGTGTGTCGTGGTCGCCGCGGGGAGCATAGGCAATGGACAGCCAAAAGCCAGCAGCAGAAGCGTTGAGCACTTTCGTGGTGTGATGCGTTGCATAAAAATGTGTGTGTGTGTATTTCACCTTGCGTTCCTCGAGCAGCTCAAAGTCGATGTTTCTGAAGAATCTGTGGCGCTTCACTTCTGTGTGGTCGTTGATTGTGCTGCCGAGTCGGCGGTCGGGCTCGCGCACCAGCAGCGCCTGCACGCGGTCACGCAAATCACGTTGGGAGGAGCATGTGCGGAGTGGAGGAGGAGGAGGAGGAGGAGGAGGAGGAGGAGGAGGAGGAGGAGGAGGAGGAGGAGGAGGAGGAGGAGGAGGAGGGGTGCTTGCAGTTATAATAACAATCCGGGGGCCACGCAAGAAGAATGCCGCCCAGCACACACACACACACACACACACACACACACACACACACACACACACACACAGAGCCATGCATGCATTACCTGGAGCCATTGGCGAGCAATAGGTGGGACATATTCGGGGAAGCGCAGCTGATCGTGAAGAATCCTGTTGTACATCTCATCGATGTTGCGGTTGTAGAACGGCGGCTGCGCGCGTGCGTGCGTGTGTCAGTCCGTGAGCCACGCGGTTAAAGTATTGTGTGAGGGAGAGATGTGTCTGTCACAACGGGGCGTTGACAGCGACACAAACGCAGAGAGCACCAAAGAGCAACGGCGTCAAATGCCAGTGGGACACGCAGCGGAAGGCACGTGTGCAGCAGTCAGGTCCAACTCACCAAGCCACACATCATCTCGTACGTGACGCAGCCGAGACACCACCAGTCGACGGCGCGCCCGTACGGCTGCTTACGAAGCACTTCTGGGGCAAGGTACTGCACACCATTGCCGAGTATTTGTGTGTGTGTGTGTGTTGTTTGAGAATAGGGCTCGATACATGCACGGTGTCGTGTGAGTCAACACAAAAAGGAGTGGCGAGGCTGAAGGCACAATGCTTGCATGCAACCAGGCGAGACCAGGCAAGGCAGACGGACAAATAGATACGCACAGACACAAGACACACAGACACACAGACACACAGACGCACAGACAAACCTCTGGTGTTCCGCAGAATGTGCGTGTCTTCTCGCCCGGTGGGATGTTTTCCTTGCACAGCCCAAAGTCCGTGAGCTTGACGTGTCCCTCCGCATCAAACAGCACATTCTCGGGCTTGAGGTCTCTGGCGAGCCATGTCATTCGTTCATGGATTCATTGCATGATGTGCACAGGGAGAGAAAGTTAACGAGGTGTGGAGAACAATGGTGAGCGTGTGCATGATTTCAGCCAACTGCCACATACATGAAGATACCACATAGACACTAACAGACAGACACACGAACAGACACACACAGACATACAGACAGACCACACACGTACACATGTGGGACGGACCTGTAGATGATGTTGATGTCGTGGAGGAAGCCGAGGGCCGACGTGATTTCGGCGGCGTAGAACTGAGCGCGCAGCGGCGCAAACCGCTTCTCGCGCTGCAGATGGAAGAACAGCTCGCCTGTGTGTGTATGTGTGTTTGGGGGCGAGAAAGAGGGGATGTGAGATGGAAGTCGTTTTGTTGGCAGAGCAACAGCATTGCCCACACACACACACACACACGCACACACACACACACGCACACGCACACGCACACACACACACTCACTCACAGGCACACACACACACACACAGGCACACACACGCACACACCTCCGTTGACGTAATCGAGGACAAAGTAGAGCTTCTTCTTGGTCTGGAAGCTGAAGTGCAGACCAACAAGGAAGGGATGCTTCACGTTGCCAAGCAACACGTTGCGCTCGCTCATCACGTGCTTGGACTCGTTCTGCAGAGAATGCGTATCCATGCGTGCGTGTGTGTGTGCAGGAAGAGGAAACAGAGATGGGGAATGAATGTACGAATGAGAACCAGAAGCAGGGGCATATCAAGAACGAACTCCTGACATACCCACACACAGGGACACAAACAAGCAAACGCACGCACACACCCATGCACACCCACACACACATGCGCGTACGTGTTTGAGGATGATGTCCTTGTTAAGGACCTTGACGGCGTACAGGCGACGCGTCGCCTTGTGGCGTGACAGCAGCACCTTGCCAAAGCTGCCGTGCCCAACAACCTTCAGCATCTCAAAGTCGTCCACCGTCGCCTGTATGCGAAGAGCAGAAGAGACAGGGAGTTGTGATGGTGAGCGTTCGATACCGAGAGTTTGGAGCAAGCATCAAGCGTGTTTCCAAACTTGACACGCACACACAACACAGCACAGCGCAGCGCACAGCACAAGCAAGGCAGTGCCATCATGCTGCTGGTCATACCTTGTGGTTTCGCCTATCGCTGAGATCAAAGTTGGGGTCGTAGACCTCCCTGCCATCGTCATCATCATCGTCGTCATCGTCGTCACCGTTCACCCCGGTGCCCTCTGCATCATGCCCCTCCGCCAGCGAGCCAGCAGGCCGCGCCTTGTGGGAGCTGATGCTCGTGTGCCGCTGCGGCTGGCGGCCCTGTTGTACAACACCACCGGCGTGTGGTGTGTTGTCGAGGTGTGGTGGTGTGGTGGTGTGGTGGTGTGATGGTGTGGTGGTGTGGTGGTGTGATGAGGCCATGCATAATGTGTGACAAATGTGTGACGGGAGGGGAGGAGGAGCACGTGGGTCATCGTACACGCACACTGGCGGGTATTTGAGAAGGGGAGATGGAGGGAAGGGGGCGACATCACTTGCAGGGCAGTTGCACACAGACTGACAGACAGAGGGAACAGTCGTACATGTCGTGGGGTGTCTGTGAGGAATTTCTGCACGACGGGATCAAAAGCAATGGATGGGATGCTGATGATCTTCTGAACAAACTCTTGCAGCCCTTGCTTACGGGTCTATGTAGGAGGTGGTGGTGATGCGTAACGTTGAGTGAGCAGAGAGATAGAGAGATAGAGAGAGAGTGTGTGTGCTGTAAGCAGATGGATCCAGCAAACACAATCAAACACACACACACACATACACAAAGTACACACGCACAAACAAACAAACGTAACACACACACACACACACACACACGCACGCACGCACACATACACACACACACCACACACACACCACACAACTACCACCAACCTGGATGAAGTCCTGATCAAACTTGCCGAAGATGCGCTTGCTCGGGAACTTGAACTTCTCCTTGGGATACTTGTCACGAAGCATCTCATAGAGTTCACGGAACTCGCTGTACCTGGTTGGCGCGAAGACAGACAAAGAGCGAGGTGCATGGGACAATCCATATTCGGCCGTTAGCATGCGTGGAACCAAGCCTCAGAAGGGTGGGTTGAGGTCAAGCAAGCACATCCGAGGAAACGAAAAACGGAAAGCAAACAAGAAAGGAAGCGTGGGCGTTGACATCCTCCTCCTCATCATCCCCATCATCGTCATGCGGGCTCGTGTGACGCACTGGCGTGAGAGGTGTTGCTGTGGTCTCGCGTGTGCATGGGAAGCATGTCAGTACAAACCTGTGGTAGACGGTCATGCGCTGGCTGCCAGCGACCAGCTCGAGCTTGTAGACGGTGAAGCGCTTGTCCTCGTGTCGGATTTCGTGGTCGACAATGGAGGCATCCGAGAGCTTTTCCATGAGTTGGGAGGTGACATCGTCGCCAGACGGGGATCCCGAGGGGTGTGGGGTCTCGGCACCCTCTAGCTGCGCTTGGTGTCGGTGCTGATCAGACATGATGCTGAGGATGGGGAGCGAAGGATCAAAGGGATGACAGTCAACAAGGTCGTGCTGGCGAAGAGCAGCGCTTCCTGATGTAGGCCGGGAGGGTAATGGGAGCAGTCAAAGGGGGGGGGGGGATGGCAGAGACACAAGCAAACAAAACCAAACACAACCAAACAAAAGACAAAAAAAGGGGAGGCGGAAGTGTGGCACCAAGTGACGTGCGTGGATGTGGTTGACAATGGAGACCAGGAGAGCGCAGTCAAGACAGCTCGACTTCTTTGGTGGGTTGGAAAAGTGGGGTGTCGTGTGTCGAGGCCAAACAAAAAAAATGAGGAAGGTGGATTGTTTGTTTGTTTGGAGGAAGAGGAGAATAAATTATTATGCATGATTCGATGTCATTGTAATGAAAGTGTTCCAGCACAACTGCTGCCACTGACTTGCTTGCCAACACAGCGAGCGAGCTGACTTGGATGATGTGATGTGTGACATGAGCCTTGACATGGTGCACTCTGGCGCTGAGCTGACACCAACAACGATGGCGATGTGAGATGTGATGTGATACATGTATTGGTGGACAGTACGACTGCAAACGCGGGTCAACACAACGAACAACAAAAAGGAGGGAAGGAAAGGAAGGCAACAAGCAACTCTGTTGATTGGGCAACACAATACACACGCGTCACTTTCACAACATGCACAAGTTGGTTTGCTCACAGACAGTCACACAGACACACAACACTGGGTTGCATGGGAAAAGCCCAAAGCCAAAACGTGCACGCAACAGAGGAGCACACAAAAAAGAAAGAAAGAAAGAAAGAAAGAAAGGCGAAAAGGGGTGGTTGAGAGGTGTAACGAGCAACAGCAAGAATGACAAGGAGAACATCACAAAGCGCACGCACAAACAGACACACAGAGAGAAGTCTGCGTATGCGCCTGACAAGCCAACTGAAAACAAAAAAGGGGCCTCTATCACGCACACTGTGTGCACAATGGGACACGTCAACACTGAACGACGACAACGACAATGGTGGGGAGGTAGTCTGCGTAGTTAGGCGGCAAGCATCTTCTTGACCTCTTTGGGCGTGCTCTCATCGTTGAGGTGCTTTGTCGTGTACCGGAGTGCGTTAAGCAATCCCTCAAGATGTGGGTTGTCGTGCAGCTTGAGCACCTTGATCGACGCTCGGATCTGAGCGTTGAAGCGGGGTGACGTGGGGGTGGTGGTGTGTGTGTGTGAGTGAGGAGACGAAAAGTGTTGTTGGTGGGTTGGGTTGGTTGCGTGTGAGTGCATGTGGCACGGGACAAGGCCATGACTATCGTAGAGAATGAGGCAATAATAACGTCGACGACGATAACAGCAGCAGAGCAAGGGGCCCCGTGCTGATGACAGCTACGCACATCGATGGAGTTGTTCTTCTTTGAGAATGCGCCAATGAGGTGAACGTGGTCGTACAGGATGATCACGCCAACCATCACCCGCTGGCAGAACAGAATCGTCTCCGGGTTGTGAAACCGCGCAGACAGCTCGGGCTGGGGCGGGCACGTGGTGTGTGTGTGTGTGTGTGTGTGTGTGTGTGTGTGTGTGTGTGTGTGTGTGTGTGTGTGTGTGTGTGTGTGTGAGTGTGTGTGTGTGTGTGAGTGTGAGTGTGTGTGAGTGTGCATGTGATAGATAGATAGATAGATAGATAGACAGACAGACAGACAGACAGATAGATAGATAGATAGATAGATTGATTGATTGATTGATAGATAGATAGAGAGAGATAGTGTGTGTGTGTGAATACTAGCGCGCATCGGTATGTTTGTTGGGAGTCAAAGCGTTGCTAAGCGTGAACGATATGCATCAAGGAAGTCACATCCCGTGCACAAGTGCACGAAAACCTCACCTGCTCAATCATGGTTCGGCACACGGCTGCCATGGTGCTCAGACAGTCGGTTGTGTTGTCAATGGGGATGTCTTTGTTCTGCACAGCGCGCAGGTGAACAGGAGGTGAGCAGTACGTATGTGGGTATGCGTGCGTTTGTGTGTTTGTATGTGTGTGCACAGCGGAAGATACAAACAAGCAGTGTGACGGTGACCAGCAAGAGGGTTAAAGGACCACCAGGGAAGAGAAAGCAAAGAAGAAAGCAGACACAGACACAGACACACAGACACGCAAACACACAGACACACATGCACACACACGCACACAAAAAACGGACACCATACACACTGTCACACACGGCACATACAGACAAACCGACACACACACGCACCTCTGCAACGAATTTGGTTGTTGCGTCGCTGATGGTTTTGAGGATGGGGGTCGGGTAGGCGTAGAAGAGAGACATGCGGTTTGCCTCCTCGTTTGTGACCACAGCCTGATCCTCGCCACCAGCGTTGTTCATCTTCATGCGGCTGAGCGTGCGCCGGTAGTAGCTGAAGTCGTTTTGGATCGATGGGTTTGACATCTTCAGGTCATCAAACTTCAGCACAAAGTGAAGAATCTCCGCAAACTGTTTCGCCAGCGCCTGTTTGGTCGTGTGTGTGTGTCAGTGAGCGAGAGATGAGCGGTTGCTGTTGCAGATGCGACAATAGGCACATCAAGCATGGCAGCGTCACAAATATACACACTGCACACATACACACACATACCTGCTTGCGCTCGAGTGAAGCGACAGGGTCCTCTGCACACAGCGCCTGCAGCAAGAGCGGGAGAACCTCCTCTGTTGTCCAAAGCCACCACGCAACACATGTGTCAACGTGAGTTGATGATGATGAATGGACGACAATGGCGATGGTGGTGAAGGCACGTGCATAAGATGCGTTGGCGTGTCACGCGGGATTCAGCAAACAAGAACAACAAGAGCAGCAGGAATAACAAGAGCAGCGAGAACAACAACAACAACAACAACAACAACAACAACAAAAACAACGACAACAACAACAACAACAACAACAACAGCACTATCATCAAACAAACAACACTCACATCATTCCCTCTGCCCTTCCCCCCCCCCAAACGCACAGACACAACGCACGCACCAAGGTCGGACGAGTAGTCATAAAACTCCTTGAGCTTCTTGACCAGCGGGCAGACGGCATCCCACGCCATATGCTGGTGCTCGTCGCTGTTTGGATTGGCAATGGCGTTGCGAATTGCCTCATCTGCACCAGCATAGCTTTCCAGGTCTGCGCAAGGCACAGGCGATGATGGAGAGGAGGGCATAACGGCAGCGGGGATTGGAGGGAGGGGTATAGAGGGGTTGAGTTGTATGAAGTGGGACGCTCAAGCACATATGTGCTTGTGCGTATACGTGCTGTGGGGCCAATGCGTGCACAGATACCCACGCATAGATGGAAGAACGAAGCTCAACCGATAGCAAACAAAATTCACAAACACACACATACACACACGTACAGACAGACTCCTCCTCCTTCTCTCTCTCTCTCTCTCTCTCTCTCTCACACACACACACACACACACAATTACCCCCAGCCCACGTTTCACCATGCACACACCTTCGAGGATGCCGACCGACTGGTCCAAGACCACCTTCACTTGATCATACACGGGCCTTTCCTCCTCTGTGGGCTGTGCGTTCTCAAAGTCGAGGAAGATGTCCTCGCCGCAACGGCGGCCGTCCTTCTTCAACACCTGCACCGCCACCATCATCGTCATGGCATCGTCATGGCATGGGTCACGCCACATCAGCGTCGGCAGCGCCACGGACACACAGTTTGGTACAGCACGCAAGAACACACACACACACACACAGGCATAGAGACACACAAACAAAGAGACATCCACACCAAACTACAGAGACATACAGACAAAATACAGAGACATACACACACACACACCTGCATCAAGTTCCCCATGGCTGACTGTTGCTGTTAAGTGGTGTGTCCTTGTGTGTCCTTCTGTAAATGGCACGCCACACCAGCGAGCAGCAGTGTGAAAACCCATGCACGAGAGCATCTCACGTAGGCCCTGCCAACAAAACACACCACAACGACCAAGCACAGACAGAACTGCAGCCAAGTGCCACACCGCCGGCCACGCTCCCCCACACGGCAAGGCAAGCACAAGTGCTCCAAGGCCACAAGCCCCCATCAACGTCACCACCAGCGACAGCGACAACAATGAGTGCAACAAACAGACCACCACCACCACCACCACCAAACTGACTGCGATTTCTGGAGGCACACAGACAGATGTGACAACAGCAAACCAACCAACCGACACACCTCAGATACGTTGGCTGGATCGCCGTTTTCTCTCAAGCAAGGCAAAAGCGGGACAAACCTGTCTCAGACGTAAGCAAATAGGGTCGACGCGACGGGCGCAGCGATCACAATGCACCAAGCGACGGTCACCACACAAGATCGTGTGCTCGGATATGCTGTCTGTGTGACAGGGCAGGAGAGAGAGGGGGGGTGTGGATGTTCGTCTTCGTCTTGGTCTGCTTCTTGTTGCTTTTGGTGGTGGTGTGTTGTGTGTTGTGTATTTTTTTTCTTTGGTTGTGGCCAGTTGTCGCCGCGATAATCCTTCCAAAACTTTATCAAAAATTCTACAGAGCAGTTTTGCAAATTGCCAAGCCATTCAAATTGCACCTCCCCTTTGCAAATCACACCTGGTGGCGGGCGGGAACAATCCAAACTGCAACAAACCACACAATCCTTGACGTTTGTGCAGCGCACACCAGTGCAGCAGCAGTCCTCGTCGAACACCCTTCCTTCTGCTTCCCCCCCCCGCAAAGCACCACCATGGCGGCTCCTTGTTGTCTGCTTGGTCCATTGTGTTCTTCGTTTGAGCATGAATGTACACGTTTGTGCAAACGAGCACAAGCACAGGCAGCACAACCTTGATTCGCGCGCGCATTTCTTGTTTTGTTTGAGCCCGTTCTCTCGTTCACACAATAAGTGTGCTTCGCAGCCAGCAGCAGCAACAACAACACTAATAACCAGCAGCAGAAGCCGCACGCCGCCATTAAGCACGACTTCTTTCTCTCTGTCTCTCTCGCTCCTTCTTTTCCCCCTTCTTTTTCCGTCTTCTGTTGCTGTTGCCCGGTCATTTCCCCGCCCGCCATTGAGCACTCGTACGAAACGGCATGGGCGTGTACAGTGCCATTTTCCAGCACATCATCCGCAAGCTCTACAGCTCAGTTCCCGCCGCTTCCAGTGACTCTACCCAGGCACCCCCTTTACCAGGCACCCCAACAAGAGCAACGCCGGCACTGTCCATCCCAAGTTCGCAAGCACAGCAAGCACAGCAAGCGCAGCAAGCACAGCAAGCACAGCAAGCGCAGCAAGCAGCGGTTGAGGCAATCACGAGGAGAAGGAGGACAAGTGTTGCAAAATCGTCGACTGCAAGAGCAGCAGCAGCACCACCACCACTACCACCTCGGTCCATCAAGCCAACAACGACTATGCAAGGCATCTCGTCGACGCCGGCCGCAGCCAACGCTCGTCTGCAAGGAAATCTGCCCTCAGCCATCGCCGAGGACAGTGCCAAGAACATGGACATCGAGGCTGCCGCCCCCAAGCTTGCCCATGCCATGGAAGAAGAGAACGCGCCAAACCAGGCCAAGGAAGCAGGCACTGAGAACGTTGGCGCCAAACCAATCGCGGAGGAAGAGCACGCCACGGAGCAGGGCCCAGGTGCCCGCCCAACAACACCACCTTCCGCAACCACTCCTGCAGTGACGTGGAAGCCGCAGGACAGTGCCAACGACAGCAGCGATCACCTTGGCGCCAACGCCAATGGTGACACCACCGCACCCGCAAGCCCCGCCGACAAGGAAGACGGTGGTGCAAGCACGGAAACTGAGACGGACGGCTACTCCGAGGACCAGCAGTGCAAGGAGCAGCAGGACGTTGAAAAGAAGGAAGACGCTGTGCCCGAGCAAGTGGAGCCCGCCCCAACGCCCTCTACAGCCACGCCAACGCCCTCTACAGTCACGCCAACGCCCTCTACAGCCACGCAAACGCCCTCTACAGCCACGCCAAAGAATGCGACCACTGAAGACGTCGGGGCTGATGCCACCACCAACGACAACCACGACGAGGACAGCAGCAATGGCGGCAGCAGCAGCAATGATAGCAGCCACAAGGAAGCACGTGCCGAGGTTGATGGTGAGACTGGACCAGCGGAGCAAGGGCAAGAAGAGACGCAAGGCCAACAGGACCCCGAAGAGAGCCAGTCCCTTGGTTCCGATGACGCCAGCGGCAACACCGACACCACGCAGCGCGACGATGGCATGACGAAAGGCTGTGGCTCTGCAGTGACAACAGCCGATGTTTCACCGCCTACGACAGTTGAGGCGCGCCAAGAGGACGCCACTGTCACCCCAGCACCAGCCTCAGGCGACGTTGCTGAGGTTGCTGGAGACCGCAGCGAGCAAGGCCATGTGCAGCATGCCGACAGCAACGAGGGCGAGCTTGATGCCAAGCGCGCGAAAGTCGACCAGTCGGCACCGGCAGATGCAGGTGCCCGGCACGGAGAGGAGGAGGAGGACGAGGAGGAGCATGAGAAGGAGGAGAACGACGAAGAGGGTGAGGTGCATGAGGTGGAGGAGAAGCGTCTTGAAGAGCAGGCCACGGCAGCTGAAGGTGGTGCTGTGACGACTGTCCGTGACGGGCATTCTCAGACCAGCAATGGCAACGATGTCAGCGATAAGGACGGCGAGACTGTGATCGGCAAGCTTCAAGACCAGCACGCTGGTGCCCGGGAGGTGCCGAGCGACAGCATTCCATCCGAGGACGAGCATGTAGCCATCCAACAGCACGTTGCCTGGATGCGTGCCCTGGTCAGCAGTTCGCGAACGCGACGCGTCATGCTGTCCCGTGTTCTGTCCTTGATGAAGTCGAACCCGGCCATCGGCGAGGAGGTGTCCCGCGCTTACAACGGCGTGCTCGCGCTGCGCCGTGATGAACGCCGCCTCTTCCGCATGCTTGTCGACCTGAAGCAGCGCGCCCGCACTGCCCGTCGCGAAGGTGATGAGCCGTCCCCGGAGTTTGCTAAGCTCATGCAGCAAGTCCTGCATCGCCGCAACCGCTGCCGCAACCGCTGCCGCAACCGCTGCCGCACTGCGGTAATAGTGGCCCGTCTCCGCGACCTCCGCGCATCTGTCCTTCGGCGCATCAACTCTCACAAGAACTGACCTTTCAACACCGGCTATTGGCTTTGATTGGCGACGTTTGTTTCTCCTCTGTGCTTCTCTTCCTCCTTCGCAATAATGCATCCGAAAACACACACACACACACACACATTTACGTGCCTGCCTTTGCGTGAATCAGAAAGCGTGTCTTTTACCAGTAAAGGCACATTAAGCTTCCCCATGAGCAATGGTGATCAGGGAGGCGGTGGCAAGAAGCGAAGCGGTGAAGGAATGATGACAGGAGAAGAGAAAAGAAAACGGAGGCGTCACGCAAGCAATGGGTGATACAAACACAAAACACGCGTGTGACGTGCGTGGTGGAATTGAAGAAGGGCCGATAATGTGCAACATCGCAACAAGGCATGACGGCAGCAAGAGAAACCAAGTTCGTTTCTCGTACATGAAGAACAGGCGAGCAGACAGACATATTCACACACACACACATACTCACACACACACACATACTCACACACACACACACACACACACACACACACACACACACACACACACACACACACACACACACAAGCACAAGACAAGCAGCAGCAGCAGCAGCGGTCAAATGTCAATGTTAAACTCGGTTTCAATGGCCCTGGCTATGGTTGCTGAGGGCGCGCTGGTGCTGGGGTGTACGCCGCTTCCTCTGCTCGATGACGACGGTTCTGTTGTCTCCCGCCTTCGCCGACGCACGGGCACCACGGGCGCTGGCTCGTCGCCTCCAACACCATCACCACTGCCATCGCCATCGCTGCTGCCTTGACCATGAAATGCGTGCGCTTTGCTCTCGGTCGGGCTGTCCTGCGGCTCATCGCGCGTGGATGCGGTGCCGCACTCGCTCTGAGTGCTGCGAAGACGGGAGCTGCTTACCGCGCCATGT